TTAACGAGATGCTTAGGGATATTGATCGAATCAATAAAAACTGGGCTCTGTAAAACTAGTAAACCACATTTGCAAAGCTTCCAATATATTTCAGCCTGTTTGCAAGCGAAAATTAAACAACCAGAAATCCCGACAAACAAAAAATTCTTACAAGGCAAAATCCCGATAGCCAGGATCGAGCGACTGTCGGGATTTAGGCTGTCGAGATTGCCGCTGTCGGTATTTCGGTATTCCGGATGTCAACTGTCGGGTTTTAATGCCGGTAACCTGGCTAGTTCCAGTAATCGCGTTAAAAGCGCAATTTTTGAACACTTACTGTTGCGTTCCATGTTGCAACTTCCGGGCAAATAAACCCCCAACAAGATCTGGGCGGCTTAACCCGTCTGGGGGCAGAAGCTAGAGCCCCTCCCCTTCCCCCCGCCGTTCAATTACCCGGATGCTAATTGGGTGGTGTTCCGTTTTGGGGCGCCGAGACGACGAAATGGACATCACTTTGGAAGGCAGGAAAGGGCACCAAATCTGTATCGTAAATTAGGGGTGATAGGTGGTTGGAAAAACCCGAAAATCGCAGCAGATTACGCAAAAATGTGGTTATTTTTGGATGGAAATTGGGTGGGCGGAAATTGTGTGGTGAAAACGTGGGTTTTGTTCTGGTCAACGGCGGAGATCTGGGAATTTCTATTATCTCTCTCACTCACTTTCTCCCTAGCTCTCTCGCTCTGTCTCTCACTCTCTCCCTCGCTCGCTCTCTCTCTCTCTATCTCTATCTCTCTCTCTCTCTCTCTCTCTCTCTCTCTCTCTTTCTCTCTCTATATTTCTCGCGTCAAAATGTCATTAATGCGAAAAAGGAAAGTTTTTAAATTGGAAAAGAGTGAGAGAGAGAAAGAGAGAGAGAGAAAAAGTGCGTGAAAGAGAGCGAGAGGGACATTGTGGTAAATGGATAAAGAAAGATAAAGATATTTATTTCGTAAACGAAACCCAACTCCTTTGCACGTTTGCAGGTAACAACCGCTGACTTCATGCATTTCGCCGGTCCACCCACCCCCGATCGGCCATTCATCATTCATGCCCCCCCATCAAAACCGGCACAAGGACCCCAGTCAACCAGCCAGCAAGAAGTTGGAGTAAAAGTTTTTTTCTGAAGACTCCCCGACCCCTGGCCGAACAAAGCGGCTGTTCCCCCTGGTGAGCAAGAAGTCGAGAGCATACAAGGTCTTTTTGAGACCGACCAATTGGATCCAGGGGGATGGATGGAAACAGCTGGGGGCTTGGACGGCACATGGAACGGATCGAGGAGGTGGAGATTGAGGGGAGAACATGCGATCATTTGTAGGTGCTAACCACAAGGAGAAAGAGAGAGAGAGACAGAGAGTGAGAGAAAGAGAGAGAGAGGGAGATGGAGGGAGAGAGAGCCAGATTGAGAGAGAATGAGAGAGTGGGGGCGAGAGCGAGAGGGAGAGTGAGCGAAAGAGGAAGAGAGAGAGAGAGAGAGAGAGAGAGAGAGAGAGAGAGTGACGGAGGGAGAGCGAGAGAAGCTTCCAAGAGGATCTCGGCTAGTTTGCCCGATTTCGAGAAATAAAAGACATCCTAACGTATGCAAATTTTTTTGCTGAAGAAAATCTTCTTCACAATTTGCGAAACGCAGATACAGGTTATGAGGCTTTAAGGTACATAAAATAGCTAACTACGTGATTTTTTGCTTTGCTTGGCAAAACAGGCGTTATAAGCTAGGTTTACGCTTAGGCTTAGGAGACGAGCTACATAAACTAAACTTGGTTACCCGTCTAAACTCCCTCGATGCTCAAAAGCTCTCCTTGTAAGCAAAAAAAACTAAGGTTGATACGGTAAGTATGATGTATCCAAGGCAGCTAAATAAGTTGATAAAATTTCCGACATCCCAAAAACCCATTTTTTTTGTGTGCCCAGGTCAAACCCCAGGCCCGGAGGCCCCAACGTGAGTGTTGCGAGCATCCCTCCAAAGGGCCCCATGTGTTTGGTGGAACGAGGGGAGGAGGTTGAATGTGGAGACTGAGGTAGTAGTGGTAGCAAAGGGAGGGAAGGGCATCCCTGATGAGCAGCTGAAGCCGCCACTAACAAAAAGTCTCGACCCCTCCTAGCTAGAGCTGGAATAGACGATTCTGACGGAGTGTGTCCCTCTCCCTTTCGGTGTCGTCCCACGGCACGACCATGTTATTAGATAAAGGGATGGGAGGGGATGCGACGCCTCGCTTACGATTTTGGATTTGTCGAATTTCGGCTTGGGATAGCGTGGAACAACAAGGGCAGCAGTGGTCAGTAGTCTGGACACGGGGATACGCGGGTGTTCCTAAGCGAGGAGTGCTTGGGCTTCGTTTTTGAGCTTCATTTCAGGGTTTCGGCTTCGACTAGCTTTTTACAGCTTTGAGCTTTGCTTGGGCTTCAAAATTAGTTTTTTTTTTGAGGTTAGGCGAAGTCCAATTCTAGCTTGGCCGGGGGTTTGAGCTTGGGCTTAGGCCAGGACTTGAGCTTTGGTTTCGGTTTAGGATTCAGGCTTAGTTTTAAACTTCGGCCCAGGTGAAATCTTGGCTTGTTCTTTGGCTTGGGCTTATCATTAAACCGGGCATGGGCTTGGTGTAGGCGCTTAGAATTTTAAGTGAATTTTTGCTTAAGACCAACTTGGGTTCTTAGTTTTGAGGCTCTGCTTCGGGCTTGACTTGGCTTCGGCTTAACTTAAGCCCAGATTTATATTTAGGATTAGACCCAGACTTAGTTTCGGCTTGCCTTTTGGCTTAGCTATAGGCTTAGGCTTGGCTTAGGCTTAGGTATCGGCTTTGGCTTAGGCTTAAGGTTAACCATACCGCGCGGTAAATACAGAATTATACCTTAACCTACCCCGGTACCCCCATAACACCCAAAAGTCCCAATCCACACTAGGATTGTCCAAAGCACTATTGACCGCCCGCCCAGGGGCCCAGATTTTCAATTAAAGGGCGATGCGAGGACGAGCGTTGTGGCGCCCCGGAATTCGGCTGAATCATCGAAAGGGGCGGATTGTTGCCCGGCTGGCAGGAGGACAGCAGCTCACTTTTACGAGTTACCCGAAATTGTCTGGTGGCCTAAGGTCCAAGCCGGTGGCCCTACGCATGCAAATTCATGCAAGAATCGGGGGATCGAGGGTGAATGCATAAAAATCGAACGAGCAGCAGAATGATAAAAGAAAATTCCTGGATTGGAAAAAATAAAATGGTGTGCAAAATTCTGCTCAAGAAAGACTTGGTCCCATCTCAAAGTTCGGACGAAGCTCAAAAACGTCTCGTTGTAAGCAACCGTACGCCGTGACAACAAAATCCATTGTACACCGTCGCGTCCCTTTAATATTACCGAAAACACACTTAGATGCCTATTCTACATAACTTAATTTACTGACTCAATTCGGGTCTCGAAACCCCTACGAAACCGACCAAAAACCCGTGGCGGGAATGTTCTGGTGGTCGGGGGGTTGGTTGCTCTCCGTCGACCCGTCACACGGCGACCCGTCAAGGGGGTCGGATTAAAATTCGACGAGGAGGGCTTCGGGGTTTCGGCTTCACGGATAGCTACCCAACAAAATTGAGGCCAGGGGGTCGTTCATTTTTTGGGACTCATCAGGGTAAGGTCCCTTGCGTAAGGCCAGCTTATTGATATTGATCATACTCATATCGCAAGGAAACCCGATAAAATCACAGTCAATCACAAAAAAATGAAAGTCAATCATGAAAAAGCCAATCCAAAACTCTAAAACTGAAAGCTCCAAGATTTTTATATAGGCTTGATTTAATAATGCCTTATCTATTTCGCATAATTTTGCCCCAAAACTAATGTTTCGAGACGAAGATAAGAGAATTCGTGCTCCCACTCAATTGGCCGTACCCTGCTTTACCCTAACTGAGAAACGCTGGGGACCTAGCCTAAGTTCCAGAAAATTATGGTAAGCCGGTGCCCGCGACGTGTACCTTGGGACAAGAAAACACTTCCACCTCTAGACAACACCTTTGAATTTCTCACGTGAGCCGGAAGTTCCGGCTCGGCAACAGGGTTTGGCTTAAAGAGCGGCTTGGTCGGATCAGAGTAGACAGTCTGATCAATGTTGTTTTAAGAAACTCAGCAGCAAGGTTCCGCCTTGAGAGCCACTAGGTGTCGACAACAGCGATCCGGGCTTAGGCTAGGATTAAGCTTAGGTTGGACTTAGGCTAAGGCTTAGGCTTAGGCTTAGGTTTAGGCTTGGGTTTCGGTTTCTGCTCATGCGTAAAAGCTTAGAAATCAAGTAAAGCTATTCAAAATCGGATAGCGCCTTGAACTTTGAAACACCCAAAACGCAACCCTTCGACCGATCGTCGCTCAAAAATCGCTCACAAAAAGGCCCACAACGCGAGGAGGTGTTAAAGTCCAAAGCCTGTGAGGCACACTTAAAGGTGAGAGATGTCGACGAGTCGAGCCATCATAGCCCATCCACGATCATTGACACGAGACGTGTGATGGAGAAGCCGGGTGGATAGAGGAGAGAGGGGGAGGTCCCTCTCAATAGTCCCACAAAACAGGACATCACATTACACGGGCAAAGGAAAGGCGGGCAGCTCGTTTGAAAATACTTGGCAGATGCGAAGCGTTCCCAGGCCTTGTAAATATAAATCCAGACTCAGGATGCACTTTTTGCGGTGGTGCTAATAATCCAATTACTGTATTGTACTTGGTGGGGTTAAGAATCTTGTTGATGGGTAAGGCTTGATACATAGTAGAATGGCTATCGCTAGAGGAGGGATGGAGAGAGTGTTAGGGAAGCGTGCCCAAGAGAAAGAGAGAGAGGGAGAGAGAAAGGGAAAGCGAGAGCGGGAGAGAGATAGAGAGAGAAAGAGAGAGAGAGAGAGAGAGAGAGAGAGGGAGAGAGAGAGGGAGAGGGGAGAGAGGGGAGAGGGAGCGAGAGAGAGAGAGAGAGAGAGAGAGAGAGAGAGAGAGAAGGAGAGTGAAGTTATCTGCTCGGTCTAAACTAAAAAGCATATAATCAATAAATTGGCCTATTCCCAAAGTGGCCAAGTCGCTAAGAACCAACAGCAAACATCAAAAACCTCGAACCTCAGGCATGTTCTCCGCAGCCGCCACCCAGCCTGCCCATTTCCGCCAATTTTGGAGAGACACAATGGGGCGACACGTTGAGGGCAAGGTAATTTTAAAAGTCAGTTAGTGTCCTTGACGTCTTTAGCGCTAATAAAGCAATTTCGATGTGGGTCCTTTTCTCGTGAAAATTTGCATATTCAGGCCACTCGACAAAGCCGATCTATTAATGCCTGAAAAATGTACATGCATGTATAATTCTGGAACAAGTAGCGAACGAATAAAATCCCTGATTTATCAAAATCTGCAATACAGTAATTTTTGGCAACACGCAAATAGGGGAACCCGTTGGATTGCGGAGAGCAAAAGCAAGTGGCATGGCAATGGGGGCAGGGTAGAGTAATTGAAGCACATCAGATCCCGAGCAGAATATATCACCTGTATTTGACATGGTAAAGCAGAGAAAGCGAGAGAGAGAGAGAGAGAGAGAGAGAGAGAGGAAGAGAGAACAGAGTGGTAAGTTACATAATATTAGGTAATGCATTGTTGCATTAATGGGAGGATGTGGGCAAGCTAGCAGTCATTTTTGGAGAAGCATAACTTTGGCATACCTGGAGACTATATACTAATTCTATAAATTTAATCAATCAGGTGGGCAACAAGTGGGGGTGGAGGCGGATGAATATCAGCTTCCGTCGTCACCACCGAACTCGAAGAGGACAACGAAATGCCGTGTGGATCCAGGGGTACACACTTTAGCGGAGACTCCGGAAGTCGGCTCAGCCGGGTGAACGGCTGGCCGGCCGGACCGTCAGTAACTCGTATCCGAATTCCGGGCAGGTTTGAGCTGAAATGAAACCGTGAGAGAATTCGGAGTCCACTACACTTCGATTACGGTTGCCCCGACTACGCTACACTACGATCGAACGCTCCTTAGCAACATTTTGAGCTTACCTAGTTCCCGCATCACTACCCTCATTCGTCCGCTCCGTCATTGTCGAATACCCAAGATCCGAAACGGTAGGTGGACCCCTGGGTGCAGGTCTTGGAGACGGTGGTCCACCTCCAGATCGCTCGAATGAGGCGAGAATCAGCTTTTCTGAAAAACTGATGCTCAAAGCGATCGGGATCACGCGGTATGACTCAACCTATCGAAGTCAAAGTCTAGTTCACCTCGGCTCAGCCCCTCGTGATCGAAATAGAAATCTTCGTTTGGCTCGAGGGTTCCGAAGCGTCCACAGAATAGGGTGCCGCCCTGGTCGCTGTTACAGATTCGGCGTTCGCGGAGGCGGTTGGACTAAAAAAAAAGAGTGTTAGGTGTGGCTCTGGCGCTATCTCTCTCACGCTCTGTCTCCCTAACTCCTTATCTCTCTGTCTCAGTCTTTGTCACACTTTCTCGCGCTCTCTCTCTCTCTCTTTCTCTCTCTCTCAGAACCCCAAACTCACCCGATTTCTGTAGCAAGTAAAAATAGCGATCGCCAATCCGATGATGACACTTCCCACCAAAGCTCCGATCAACGATACCGGGGTAGATGGCGTGTTCTGTGCGTCGCGTGACGCGTCGAGGCCGTTTGCTGAGAGACAATTATGGGGAAAGCATCCAGTAACTTACTATTTAATACGCTTCGCCCCAGCATTCCTCTATAACATAGTGGGGTTGGTCGGCAAGATGGTTGGATCAAGTCCATTCCTTTGGGTTCTTGTTGGCACCAGGTACATCCTGGGCGCAGGTTGCAGCTTGAGGGGGAGTGGAATTGGGGGCAACTAAAATCGGGTATGATTGCGAGAGAGAGAGAGATAGAGAGAGAGAAAGAGAGAGAAATAGAGCGAGAGAAATAAAGAGAGAGCAAGACAGAGAGAGAGAAAGATAGAGCGAGAGAAATAGCGAGAGAGCAGACAGACAGAGAGAGAGAGAGAGAGAGAGAGAGAGAGAGAGAGAGATGAGAAAACTAGTCTAACCCCAACCTGCTTGGCTGGCACTCCTCCAAGTAGTGCGGGGCCTTGGCGTAATTTGGAGGGTATGGTACTGTATCTGGGGTACAGAGGGTGGTCGTTTTATGAACGTCCTTGGGTCCTAAACGGGACTTGAGGGTTGTAGAAGGAAGGTTTATGGCTTTACAAAAACTAGCTGCAGCTCCCACTCACCAGTATCACACGCCGAAGCCCGGTTGGGACCACATTGACACGGGCACTCGCACTCATTCTCGTCAAAACGAGCACAAAATAGGCACCGGCGATCGGAGACCGAGCAGGGGCAGAAGTGCTGAAAAGGATTGTCGTCATTAAGGTAACAAAATCGTTTGCGTGCGTTGACCAACGCACTTGTCGAGACCTAGTCGAGTCAATTGTCGATTTCCACACATCGAAAGTGCCTTTAACGTTATAATCGTTACCCCAGCTTCTTTCCTCCTCACGCAACTCGTATTGATAAGCGCCAAAAAGACGTTGGTATGTGGAACGAGCACCACCTCGGATTGTACCTGGGGCCGAGAGAGCGGTGGAAGCGAGGAGCACATTTTCTAAGTCCTCGTTTTAACGCTACTTTCAAAGGGTTACCGTATCCACTCGGCTGTACGACGTATTGAAACGGAATCGGTGGTGCGTTTGTCCGCTAGTAGACCGGCACTCCTCCTTCCTGAAGATGTGAGGCGCGGTCAGGAGATGGGAAGTTAGGGTCGGGTCGACGTGGGCGAGATGGTACCTAGAAATTTAGTCTGCGTTTTGAATTCAAAGGGGACCTCAGAGAAAGCGAGAAGTAAAGAGAGTGGGAGAGAGAGAGAGAGCGAGAGAGAGAAAACGAGAGAGAGAGAAAACGAGGGGAAGTATTCGTGAGATGTGAGAGGTGTCTCAAAGAGCTTCTGCTACCTTACCGTTCAACAGCGTCAACCGATAGAGTGTGTAGCAACTCTGTAGGTAGCGCTACAACATTTCCAATGGAGGTCAGAAGAAGACAGCGACGACCCTGGAATCAGAACATTTTTTACGTGCTCGTAAAAGACTGTTTGCATATGATTCGTGAGAACCTAATTTTGAGCTGGATATTAAGCAGCTGAAAGTATACATGGGTCGACGCTTGCATGCGCCGCATAAGCGTGGCTGGCCACGCTCTTTCGGAGCGTGGAGGACCACGCTTATGCGGCGCTTTATGCGTGCTTTTTCACGCGCGCGATTTAACTCCAGATGCAAATCAAAAATTTAAAGGACATATATTTATGATTCCGATTTGCAACAATGAGTTGCCGATACATAACTATCAGGATCATCTTTAAATTTTGATAAATAAACAAGATAGATTGTGATTCAACTTCTAGTTAGTTAAATCCTCGAAAACGGATCGATTTTTGCTTTCATGTCCATTGGAAAACTTTGATTTTGCATTTTTAGAAACTTTGCATAAGCGTTTCCGGAGCGTGGCGGGCTACGCTCATTTCGGCGTGGTTTATTAAGAAGCACGCGCGCCAGCGTGGCTAACCACGCTCCGGAAGAGCGTGTCCGGCCACGCTTATGCGGCGCATGCAAGCGTCGACTCATGTATAGCTGAAAGCCCTTCTAATTTTCTACGACATATAACTAATCCTCACCTCGCTACAAGCCGAAACCGTCCTTTGCACGACGTGCTCCAGAAAGTTGAGCGTCACCTCGACCCCGACCACGAACATGTCCTAAGAAAAGTTCAAGTAGAAGGGTTTAAGAGAGATTGGTATGGAGTGAGAGACAGAAAGTAATAAATAGAGAGCGAGGGAGAGAGAAAGATCTCAAAGTTTCACCTGTTGCCCATACGAAAGTGCCGTCGATAGGACCACGGTATCCCCGAGTAAAGGGTCGGCTATTGGGCCGGTGATTGCCAGTCGTTTTGGGTTCTTTAGGGCTTTTTGGAACCAGAGTTGGCTTCTTGGGTCGAGGGACTCGTCGAGGACGACGGCAGGGTAGGAGACGAGGAGGCCACGGCGGGAGGCGATGAAACGACGGATTACGACTGGATCGTCTGAAAAAATAGGTTTAGCTTACAATTAGGCGTAACCAGCTCCTTGACTTTAACCTCGCTCTAAGACCTACACCCGGCTTCTATCCACAATTTCGCGATGGCACCCATCATCCCAGCTTCTTCCCGGACCCCAGATTTGATAGCCGATGACCGGATGACGCCAATACGGTCGTTAAGATACACCTAAAATCGTGGAAAGTCCAGTTAACTATCTGGCCAACTTACCCAGTAGTTGTTCACCAACTGCTCAGTCGGATCAAGTCGACGGGCCAACGGCTCAAAAGCCGAAGAGGGCAGGAAAAGAGAAGCTTTTGCTTTGACTGATAGCGCCGCGTGAAAAGCGCAATGGTGGTGGAGCTCTCGCTAAGGAAAGGGTTAAAAGTTTAAATTCCAGCAACCTGAAGATCAAATCGATTGTAGACCAAGTGCTCCAGTTTTTCCGTTTGTCGCTCTAGCAGTTCCTGGACGTGAACGTGTGCCGGAAGTTTCCCTTCGATGTACCCGACCGCAAATATTAGGCCGCTTTTGAGCTATAGATTTTTTATATAAATTTTACTAAGGTTTAAGTACCGTTTTCCAAAGATATCGGCGTTTTCCGGACGGTGTAGGCATTGTAAAAACGCCGTGTTTGGCGCGTGGCACCTGAAAATTGAATAGGTTAGGCTTAGGTTAGGCTTAGGCTTAGGCTTAGGCTTAGGCTTAGGCTTAGGCTTAGGCTTAGGCTTAGGTTAGGCATAGGCTTAGGCTTAGGCTTAGGCTTAGGCTTAGGCTTAGGCTTAGGCTTAGGCTTAGGCTTAGGCTTAGGCTTAGGCTTAGGCTTAGGCTTAGGCTTAGGCTTAGGCTTAGGCTTCGCTTAGGCTTAGGCATAGACTTGGGCTTGGGTTTAGGCTAGCTTTAAGCTTAGTCTTCGGCTTCGGCCTGAGCTTCAGTCAGTCCTAGGCTTCGGCTTAGGCTTAGGCGTAGGTTTGGGCAAAAGCTTAAACTTACCGTAAAAGGTAAAGTGCCGTCCGGACTTGTCCATAGGTCCAATTCGTTTAGCTTTAAGGTACCGATTTCCGATTTTCGGCTTGAAGCTACCACTTTTCTAAAAAAAAATTGCTTTAAGCCAGTTTTGTATAGAAATACCCTTCCTCCGTCAGCAAGTATACGTGAAGCGCAGCTGCCGCATTCGCATAAAGCACCAAATTATGGCTGATGGGCTGGTCGAAAAGTATGATGCCGTCAACCACGACTCCTATTAATGCATCAGCCGCCCGTTCGTAGATAGTAATCTAGTGGAACGTAAGGATTTCTATAGATTTTTAGACCTTCTGGCCCTCTATGCTGGATTGCAGAGATTCTTGTAAAATTGGCTCGCTGAAGTCGAGTAGTTTTGCAATGTATTGGAGTGGCCAATCGTTTGGGTTTTTGACGCTGAGCACGGTTAACTAAAATTTTCAGTATTTTCGTCTTTATCTCTCTATCTCTCTGTCTCTTTCTCTGTCTCTCTCTGCCTCTCTTACTCGCTCTCGCTCTCTCTCTTTGACTCTCTCTCACCTCTCCTCTCCCAGAATTCCCTTGCGATCCGTTCAGCCGATTTTGCACCTCCTCCCTCATCGACTGCTTGTACCGCCCGAAATCGAGTTCCGCTACGCTCCGCAAAAATTCCTTTGGCCACAGTAGTTGAGCCCCGTTTTCTAAAAATTACTTTACAGACTGAATTCACCAAATTACCCTCTCCAATGGCAAAAGTATTGACGCGGAATGGGTAGGGGAGGTCAAGGTATCGGACAGCCAACACTTCAAGGGTTTTCATAGCTTCAGACATTTCGGAGAGGATTCCGCGAGAGATGTACTAAAGTTAATAAAGCATTTTTGATCAGAAAAAGGTAGCTTACATGTATAATATGCTTCGTGTTATTATTTGCTTTCCAGACATCTGTGGCCGCTTTCATCAATTCGGGATGAGAGCTGCGGACTTTACCTTCTTCGGGGATTCTAAAAAATGAATTTGTAATTTGTTATATTTCTCTCTCTCTCTCTCTCTCTCTCTCTCTCTCTCGCGCGTCTTCCGATTTTTTTCTCACCTCAAATTCTTCACAATCTCTTGCAAATGAGAAATCGACGAACTGCAATGCGTTTCCAACCCTAGAAAATTCCGTTTTGGCATTATTAAAATTTTTTTAACCATTATTAGAATTTGCAACAATCGAATAACGATCGCCTGCCAGCGCCACGTCCAGCAAGGCCTTAGCAGTCGTCTTGACTTGCTGCAGCTCAGCGTCAGTATGGAGGTCGTCTAAAACAAGCAAATTTTCCATGCCGAATTGTACAGAATAGTCCACAACTACGGTAAGTTGTCGGCCCCTTTAACTTACTCATATCAATTGCAATCACGACATCACGACGAACACCTTGATGTAGCCCGGAAAGGATTTGTCGCCAATGTTGGGCCCTGAGAGATAATTTTAAGCTTTAGGAAGCTTCCGGACAGACTTACCGATCCGTAGATGATCTTCTGGGAGGACATTCTGACAGCTGGTTAGAATTGTAGATGAACAATGATTGAACAGCCGGATTTCGGAGAAGGAGCGTCGTAGCTGGAAAGTTATAATTTCTCTCTCTCTATCTCTCTCTCTCTCTCTCTCGCTCTCTGTGTCTCTCTCTCTATCTCTCTCTCACCCACCATTCCGATCGACCTCAAAATCTGCTTCTCCCTCAACTGTCGGGCAGCAATTCGAAGCAGAAGTCGGGAACAAGAACGAGTTCACCAGCTGTCCGCAGCTATTGTCATCCTTCTTCGACTTGACGGTGACCTTCTTGGCGATGTTGGCTAGCTGTTGTTTCTGGAAAATCAAGATATACAATCAAAATTCTAAGGTCTTACGATATCTAAAAATCTCTCGTCCAATTGTTCGGCCAACTCGTCGAGAAAAGCCTGTGGTTTAAGGTCAACTTTTTGGAAGACCGGGATCGTGATATTGTTCTGAAAATTTATTTAATGCGTAAAAAATTAAGTTTTACTCAATATATTCTTACTTTAATATTTTCTTACTTCGTATAAAATTTTGTTTTTCTGATCTTATTTGATGAATTTTTACAAGTAATTCAACCGTGTATTTTATTAGTATTTTTCTACCCACCTGAGCCCTCGGTATCTGCAATAAATCATTAACCGTCCCGCGCAACGCCCTACTCAACGCATCGGCCGATAAATGAGCCCCAATTGAAAAATAGTCGTCGGCCAAAACATTTTCTAAAAGATTTAGCGCCTCATCATTTTGTAAAAAACTTACCAAATAGCAGTGGCAGCCATAGCAGGGCCCGGATCCACATCTTAAGGAGCAAAGGTATCGAATTAGCTGGGCATTATGAGCCTCGAAAAACCCGGGGCGGGAATGTTTAGGTGGGGGCCGGGGGGTGCTCGTAAAAGTTTATCACGGGGAGGTGCCGAGGGGCCAATAAGAATAATGGTTCCCAAGAGAGCGTCCGATCGCTGTGTCCAGAGGAGTGCCGTGTAGCCTAGGGTCCTGACATCTGGCTGCTTGGGACAGCTGATTGAGAATTGGCGGAGTTTTTGAAGGAAAAAGTGCCTTGCTATGAACGGAATTTTTAAACAAGAGGAAAAATTTTAAAATGGGAAAAATCGAAAGTGGAAAATTCTCAGGTTTAGAAAAACGGAGCCCCATCTGGTAATACGGTATAATACGGTAATCACAAAAACTGAGAGACTTACCGGGGCTAGGAGTTTTGAGCCCCGATAACTTTTCAACCCTCATGTTCTTTTTTGTTCAACCTGGTTAGAAAACTCATGAAATTTAGTATTTATTTTTCTCTTCGTCTCTCTAACTCTCTCACTGTCTCTCTCTGCTTCGCTGTCCTTCTCTCTGTCTCTGTCTCTCTCTCGCTCTCTCTCTCACTTTCACTCTCTCGCTTTTTATCTCTCTTTCTCTCTCTCTCTCTAGGTTCTCAACTAGGTTTTAACGCTTCCTAGTCCCTTTAAAGCTCGTGATCACTTAGATTTGTTTGAGCCTTGGTTCAAGTACCTGACCAATTACCAAGTCATCTGCACCTAGCTTTAACGCCCCTTTAAGTGGCAACTTTGCTGCTTGTAGTTCTATTCTAAGGACCCGATCTAAATGGCACACACATGTTTATCGGTAGCTCGCGTCTTGAGGGGCGATCGCTTTGGCGGCTTCAGTGGAACCACCTGGAAGGGGTCGTGGAATAGAGGGGATGGAGGGATGGAGGGATGGATGGCCCTTCCCAACACCAACATATCGCTAAATAAGCAACCACTCTGATGGGGTGGCTATTAGGGGACTAGAGGGTCGGTTTGTAAGCGGTTAATTTTGCCTCCGAAAGGTCTGCTTCCTAAAGGATCTATGCTAGTTGTCTTGACCTGGCCCTTGATAGTCATTTAATAGTGTGTTTATTTTAAATATCTTGAATCGTCTAACCTTTAACCGGTAATGTATTTAGATTTTAACTATGGATTCATGGGTCTTTCTGCGCCCGCGATACGCAACGCGACGCACGCCCGTCACGCGATTGTGTGCGCGTTGCGTGTCGCGGCCTTGACAGGAACGATAGGGAATCCATCGCTAATTGTCCACCGGTCGCTTCGACGGTCGGTACGTCGATTTCCAGAAGACAACGCGAACGCGGTTTGACGAATTCATGCTCTCGTAACCGATTACGCACCGCGTTGCCGGTACGGTGCGTGTCGCGGCATGACAGAACTACAGATTTTTAGCAGATTGATAATGAAACCTTTCCTATCCCTTTAATGCCCTTTTCGGCTCCATTTCCTACCCTAACCTCTCTCGAAATTGCCATTCCCACTCAAGAGGACAAGATGGGCCCAAAGCCCTATCAGGTGGATTGGCTCATCCACCCCGAAAGGGCCCATGAAAGGGTCCCTGTTCAACTTTTCTGATTGCTTTCGATGGCCCAATGGCTTGCGAGCCCTGGGGCCGGGCCCCTTGAGACCCAGCCTGGGCCCTTCCTATGGGGCCTATAGGGCCAATCCCCTTCTAGCCGCCCGGCGCAGTCCACCTTAATCCCCTCCCCCCTTTCCACCGTTGTGATCTAATATTCCCCCTTTGGCAAATAATTTCCCGGCAGTGGGCATGGATCGACAAGGTGGATATGGCCACCTCTGCATCGAGGTGTTTGGGGGTGTTTTTGAAATTGTTTCGGTTTGAAACCGCAAGTTGAATTACGGTAGCCGGGAATTTTTGCTGTCTCTATATGTCTCTCTCTTCTCTCTCTCTCACTCTCTCTCTCTCTCTCTCTCTTTACCTGTGTCTCTTTTCCTTATCTCGTCATCTCTCGTTCGTCTAAAGTTTTCAAGTTCTTTAGTGTCACAAGTAAATCACCTGGGCCCGAGAGGACCCCCTTAGAGAAAGAGAGAGAGAGAGAGAGAGAGAGAGAGTGAGAGAGTGAGTGAGTGAGAAAGAGAGAGAGAGATAGAGACAGCGAGAAAGAGCTAGAAAGAGTGTGGAGTGCGCGAGAGCGAGCGAGAGCGGACGAGTGAGAGGGGGAGAGAATGAGAGCGAGAGCGAGAGAGAGCAAGAGTTAGAGAGCGAGATACAGGGAGTAGGCAGCTAGGAGGGGGCAATCCCATATGCTAAAAATAGATACCTTACGAGACTTTTAAGCTGCATTGCGTGTTGCGTCACCCCCAAGCTAGAGCGACAAAACCCATAGAAACCTTGTCGGCCCCTTTAATCCTGATTCCCTGATGTTTGTCCACCCCATTTGCAATCTCTCTCATTCTATGTGGGTGTGGATATCCGTGGTCTCATTAGCCAGCAGCTCAGTGACTACAGGGCCCTGGGCCCCAACGGATTGCCGTGGTAACCGCCTCTCTTACCTCAAATCCACTCTCACCCGACCTATCCATCCGGCCTGTGGGTGGCGGGAAAGAGGGGATAAGCCTGACTGCCCGAACGGCTGATCTCGCCCCTCAACAAGACATATATTTCGGCGGCTAAAAGCCTCTGGATTCTTTATATTTCCAGGAGGGGTTGGGTACGGTAGTCTGGGCCAAGCTTTAGGTCGATACGGTAGTCAGTGAATTCATTGTAATATTAGTTCTTTAAGGTAAAAAAATTTCCACTAAAACTAAAAAAATTCACCCACTAAAAATTCCCTTCCCACCTCTAACAGTTCAGTACCGGATTTCTAAGCTTACAATTATTCCTGATCTAATTGTTTTGAAGTTTTGATGAATTCCTCGCCTCACGACAGACCTTTAAAGCTGTCTCCCTCACATTTTCTCTCTCTCTCTCTCTCTCTCTCTCTCTCTCTCTGTCTCTCTCGGTTTCTTTAACATCTAGTTTTTTTCTCGATCACACAACTTCATGATTTTTTGTTTTATCGCGGGATATTGTCTCTGTCTAACAAAAAAAAAAACGAAAATACCGACAAAGAAAATCCAAGGCAGGACTTTCGCAGGTCGGTATTTCCGCTCTACTATTCGTAATTAGTATCACATGTAGTCTCGACAACTCGCAACTTCCACTCGGCTTTTTGCCAACAGCCTAGCGCACTGGAACGCGTTATCAGCCGATGGCTACGGGAGGAACGACTGTAAACGTCGCTTTTTTCGTCCGTTGAAATGTTTATGTTCGTTGGAGGGGGGGGGGAGGGGGGTGGAGACCGGGGGCATGTCTAGTCTCTCTTTTTCCAGCCCCATTTCCGAGAACCATGTTCCTTTTTTGCACTCATCCTATCTTTATTTGACCCCATCCGGCTGTATTGAGTGATTTTTTTTGTTGGCTTTTTGTTGTGAAATCGTGCTTTTGCTCTTTATTATGATACACTCCAATTTTGCAGTTAATGGCCGCTTAAAGGAACGGACAAAGCTTTTTCTGAATTTTGCTAGCTATGGTCCGGTAGATTTCCTTATTGTTTGATTTTTCATTCCGTACACGCCACTTGCAACGGCAAAATGTATAACCTTGCCTTGCCCGGACCTTAAAAGTCGATTTTACAAGTCAAGAAAAAATGAAATGTACAGATCGGCATTTTTTGGCTAAGATGACCAACAGAACCAAGACCAGTTACAGCCAGCATGCCGAAATTTCTTAATATAGATGTAATACAACTTAATACTGGTGTTTTAGACTGCCGATAAATAAGTATTTGCTTCGTAATATCGAATTAAATTAATGTTGAAATGCGATAATGCCGACACTTTAGAATTCTGAATGCCCTGGATTCATAGAAAATGTGGAATGAATGAATGAATGGAAGCGTGATGCTGTCAAGATGCCATAATACCGAAATCTTAAAATGCCGATATGTCAAAAACCCGTAGCATTAATGTCGAAACATCAGAGCGCCCAGAAACGATAATGACGAATTGCTAGAATGCCGAAACCCCTTTAAACCCAAAACTTTAGGGGCCTTTGGCTTTATGACCGTTGCCGAACAACAAGGTTCAATTTCATTAAAATCGCTCTACATCCATCGATCCATTAATTAGCACAACCAATTTGTCGATCGTTTTTGTGTTGCCCGGTGTCGCATTAGTGAGGGGAAGAAGAAGAGGAGAAGGAGGACGAGATGGCGATTGAGAAGAGACTACGCAGATCGAGAGACTGGGAATGCACATGGCAAAGCAAAACCCACCCGTTGAGGGGGGTCTGTCGATTCGCATCACTCACCACCGCTTCTTCGTCGAGAACGACGGAAATTGAGCTGAGGAGCCTCTTTTACCACCATCAACCCGGCCAGAAATACCACCCATTACCCTAGACACCCATCTCGGAAATATACCCTGAAATGAGGTGGCCGATTCATCAAGCCGAGGTTATGGTCAAAATTTTATGCATTTTTCCGTCGAAATCCTATTTCCGGTCGTGGGTTTAGCATTGGAGGGCCATTTTGGATAAACGTTTCGATCACTTGATTTTTACTGGTGATGCGAATTTGCTCGTTGCTTCATCTCAAATTTGGATATATCCCCCTCAGGATCATGCTTCATCACTGCCTCTTGCTCTCCCGCTCTCTTTCTCTCTCTCTCTCTCTCTCTCTCTCTCTCTCTCTCTCTCTCTCTCTCTCTCTCTCTCTCTCTCTAGCTCTCTCGCTCTCTCTCGCTTTCCCTACCTCTATCTCGCTCTTGCTTTCTCTCACGCTTTCTCGCAATCTCTCTCGCTGTCTCTTTCCATCACATCCTCTCTCACTCTTTCTCCATCGCTCTCCCTCTCTCTACTCATCACTCTCACTATCTCTCTCTCGCTCCCTCTCTATCTCTCTCTCTCCCTCTCCCTCTCGTTCGGTTCTTACATTTGCCATTTGTTCCGTTAATCCAATCCCAATTTCAG